TCAAAATGTGGGTCACAGAATTGGGAATGATCAAGTTCACCAAAGATGTACAACTGTGAAAGGCGCCGTTCCCAATGTGTGTGATCGAGTCGGGAATGGTCAAACTCACCAAAGAGCTACAGTACGCAAAAACAAAATCCCCCATGTTGGTCACGGACTCTGGGATGGTCAAGCTCATCAATGAGCTGCAATCTCCAAAGGCATCATCCCCAATGTGGGTCACCGAGTCTGGGATGGTCAACTTCGCAATGGAGCTGCATTTCCTAAAGGCATTGTTTGCAATGTGGGTGACTGAGTTTGGAATGGTCAAGTTCGCCAAGGAGCTGCAACCCTCAAGGGAACTTTCCCTGATGTGGGTCACTGAGCTTGGGATTGTCAAACTTACTAAAGAGCTGCAATTCCGGAAGGCACCTTCCCCAATCTGGGTCACTGAGTCTGGGATGGTCAACTTGGCCAACGTGTGGCAATCCTCAAAAGCGCAGTCGCAAATTTGTGTTTCATCATGTGGAATTTCGACAACAAGCAACAGTTCGGAGTCGACGATGCCACCAAGACTGGCGATCGCAGCTTTGTTGGAGCATATAACTTTGTTTGGCTTGAAAACAACACTCACAACCGTATCTGCAGCGATTCCCGCGTCCAAGACCTTGACATCATTGGCCAGCAACTGGTCGTCTCCAACAATTATCTCCACGCTGGTGGTCCTCCGAGTAAGCTCGTCCCAAGGCTGCCGACTTTTGATCTGCTGCTTGAGCTCCCTCCCTCGCAACTCGGGAGTGACGTCAAGAACTATGGTTTCCCCACTTGGCTGCAGCACGAGACAAGTGCCGGTCGCCATGGCGACAAGGAACAAAAAGAGCGGATCGGAGATTGTTCACGTGACTTGCCTTGATGAAAAGTGAAGAACAGCTCATAGAACTTAGAACACCGTGGTCCGCTTAATTTTTAGTAATATATTATATGTTTATATATTATACACTATATAATTATGGTATAAGTAAATTGTCTGTCTGCTTATTTCTCTCTGAGCCTTGCAAAGCATGCACTTGGACGCAGTCGACATGTGTTTCTTTTGCCTGCCGAAGTGCGAACATGTCGATTTGTCTGGACGTCCTGTTGACCCACATGATGACGCAGTGTGGCTGTTGGTCTATTTCACTGCTATGGCTATAGCTAACACTAGCGAACATGGTCCCACATGAGAAAGTTATCTAAATGTCCACAGTTCTTGCCCAAACCCTGGTGAGTTGAGAGAGGCTCCAACCATCAAAACCCACCATCCCGGACGATGCGTCCCCTGCGTCCTTGAAGCGGCTGAGCCTGCAACGAGCCTGCGCACGCATCTTGTTACTTGGCGTTTGGCAAAATCTAGCTTGGGTTGGGCTCCAGACTCCTTGCCAAGGCTGACAATTTGTACATCATATGTTTGCACTCCAATTGGAACATATGTCAGCTCACATTGCTACAGAGGAGTCTTCTGCTACCTAGCCTTCGGGCCACTTCTTCCTAGCCTCCCAAACATTTTGAAACATAGAGACACCTGTGTATAACACAATCTCTCCCGCAGGGTTTCGCCTCGTTTTTGACGTCGATTCTCTGCTCGCCCGCGAACACACGCGAACACCCGCCACTCCGTCGAACACCTGCCGCGCCGGAGCTGGCCTCGGTGCGAGCCGTCTCTGGGCACCTAGCCACCTCTCAAAGGAGATCGAGCGGGCGTGCCTGACACGAAGCGGCAAAGCCGTGCGTGGCGAGCTCGGACGGAGAGCAGCGACTGCTGTTGACCGGCCAGTGATCTGGTAGGGAAACGCGTGGGCGTGAAGGAAGCAGAGCAGTTGGAGCATCCCGGATGATCTAGGCTGCGGTAAGCAGGCCCTAGATTGCACGAGTACCAACTCTACAGAGAGACTGGGAGAGTGAGAGAGTGGGTTTGTGTGTGTGTGCAGGAAGCCATTGGAATCACAGGGAATCCGTTGAGTTGTTTCTCTTCCGCGTTTTTGTACTTGTCAGACAGCAGGGGCACTGAGCACTCCTTGGCAAACTCAGTGCAACGAAGCTATGCCTTGGAGTGGGAAGCACGGATTGATCACCCGTGTGTACCTGCAGCTTTACCGCAGAAATTCGTACTTGGTCCCGTTGTACCTAGAACAAGCTGACCAGCCATTGCATCCGTTCTATCACTGCAGTCACGCACTTTTATTTTGAGCTTTGGACATGAACTTTGAACATTTGACCTTTGGTATTTTAACTTTGTAGTTTGGCACTTGGGTGTCGCCAAGATGGTCATACTGCATTACATACTCTTCCCTGGAACTCTTAGGCACTCATACCTAGGTGGGCGTGTGGCATGTGCCATTCAGTTCCGCACGCAATATCTCGAGTGTGTGTGTGCCCCTTGTAGTCACAGGGATTCTTTTTGAATTGTTTGAGCAGGGGGGTGCAGAGCACAGTGGAAACTGCACCCAACGAAGCTATCCACTTGTGCTGGAAGCAGAGCCTGATCAGCTCTGTGTACCTGCTTGAATTTTAAGATTTCGTAAAGGTCTAATGCATCTGCAGTCACGCACGGAACGCCGTCACCATGTCGGATCGACCCCGCCATGAGTTTTTGCCCTCGCTTCCTCTTGAAGACCTCCGGGCTCTTTAGGACTTTCCTGGACCTTTCAGGATTTGGGTTTTTTAGGCTGGCGTGTGGCACCGCTGTCAAGTCAGTACGCATTTCCATAAGTGTGTGCCCCTTGTAGTCACAGGGATTCTTTTGCATTATTTTAGCAGGGGGATGGCTCTTTAGGGCTTTCCTGGACCTTTCAGGATTTGGGTTTCTTAGGCTGGCGTGCGGCACCGCTGTCGAGTCAGCACGCATCTCCATAAGTGTGTCTCTCCTAGTGAGAGTCCGGGATGAGCCTGTAGAGTGCCTCCCGTGGACCCGTCGAACGGGGGTTTGTCTACGTTTCCAATGCCGTGGAAACGCACGTGCCCAGAGCGGGCGTAGGAGGCTTACGCCAAAGTTATTTGCCAAGACTTGTCGGATTATTGAATTCCAAGTTGGCTCATGCCTTTACGTGACCGCAGCGGTCTAAGCTGGCTTAACGCCTCAACGTGGTCAGAGCGACCAAAGTACTTTTGAGGTTCGTTGGAACCTGTCGCGACCTTAGTCCCCTTCCTCCCCACCCCTCCCCTTCTTCTTTCTTCCTTTTTCGGGGTATTCCTGAATGTAACACTCAGGTATACCTCTCCTTGGTGTGTCCTTGGACGCTTGCGCGTAGCTGGGAACACCTGTTTTCGGTCTTTTTCCTCTCTCCCTCTTCCCTCTTCCTTCTTCTTTTGGGTGTCCCTGGATGCTTTCGTCATAGCTGGGAACCCTTCTCTTTTTCTCTTGGTGTGTCCTTTCACGCTTGTGCCGTAGCTGGGCACACCTTCTTTTCCTTTCCTTTCTTCTTTCTTTCTTCTCTTCTCTCCCTTCCCTCCCTCCTGTCGGGACCTTACTGGCCTTACTACTAGGCGCAAGGACGCTACTAGGTAAGAACTGCCTCCCCTTGGGGAGACGTGTGTGTGTGTGTGTGCCCCTTGTAGTCACAGGGATTCTTTTTGAATTGTTTGAGCAGGGGAGTGCAGAGCACAGTGGAAACTGCACCCAACGAAGCTATCCACTTGTGCTGGAAGCAGAGCCTGATCAGCTCTGTGTACCTGCTTGAATTTTAAGATTTCGTAAAGGTCTAATGCATCTGCAGTCACGCACGGAACGCCGTCACCATGTCGGATCGACCCCGCCTTGAGTTTTGGCCTCACTTCCTCTTGAAGACCCCCGGGCTCTTTAGGACTTTCCTGGACCTTTCAGGATTTGGGTTTCTTAGGCTGGCGTGTGGCACCGCTGTCAAGTCAGTACGCATTTCCATAAGTGTGTGCCCCTTGTAGTCACAGGATTTCAAAAGCACTATTTTAGCAGGGGGATGGCTCTTTAGGGCTTCCCTGGACCTTTCAGGATTTGGGTGTCTTAGGCTGGCGTGTGGCACCGCTGTCAAGTCAGTACGCATATCCATAAGTGTGTGTCGCGCAAGAACGCTGCAAAGAAACGGTCCAGTACCGAAAAGGCTCAAACGGTCTGCGCGGTGGTAATCCTTTCACTACAATGAGCGTCTGAAACATCCTGGAATTGAATCTTTGGGGTCAGACACCAGGTTCTTGCAGTCCTGTTCCCACTGGAATTCCATGGCATGGCACACCATCCGTCATGGTCCTCCAGGCCTCTTCTGTGCAAAGAAGAGCTCAGCGGTCTCTACACTACACGGAAAACAGACGAGGCACCCAACAGACCTCTCTTTCAAACTCCAGCTAAACAGGTCACAACTACCTCAAGGGGACGTTACGTTGGGTCTCTTCTTGAGTCCCTTCGGAACGGGTGCCCTTTTAGTTTGGTATGATTTTCATGTTTATTCGGTGTTCTTTTTCAAAAACATTGGAATAGAGCAGGTTTCTTATTAGTACCTAGCTAATTACAGCAATTTCGTGTCCTTAGCAGAGACACAGGTGTCGTAGCTGGCCAAATGCATTGGAATAGTGCAGGTTTTATATTAATTGCTAGCTGATTAGACTATTTGGGGAGCTGTCGTAGCTGGCAAAACGCATTGGAATAGTGTAGGTGTCAGAGAAATTCCTACCTATCACAACAGTTTGGTGCAGTTAGCAGAGAAACAATAAAGAGAAAGAGAACTAGCACAGGAGGCATATATGATTGGTTAGAAGTTTTTGCCCCGGGGAGTTCACCTTAAAATATTGAGTGCGTGGCAGGCGCGGGTGTCGGAGATGAAGTGCAGATTTCGTGGCGCCGGGGGGGTTGGGGGGGGGGCGCAGCGCCCCCCCCAGCAGCAGCACACCAGATCCAAAGGTTAGAAAGCAAACAAATGGAAAAGCAAAAACAAAAAGAGGAAGGAGAACAGCTGCCAAAGCAAAAAAGCAACAAAAGCAAAGAGCAGAAAGGCAAAAACACAAAAAGCAGAAAAGCAACAAAAGCAAAAAACGCAGCAGAAGCAGAAAAGCAAAAAAAGCAGAAAAGCAGCAAGAGCAGAATCCGACAAAAAAACACACCAATACAAGTTAAAATATTACCGATTAAAACAAATAAAAACGCCCCTCCCTTCAGAACCAACCCCCTCCCTCACGCATACGTGCACCAGTCGTCAAGACTGGTTGAAGCTGTGGAGACACATCTCCTATTCAATTCAGAAGTACACTCCCTGAAATAATCATGGAAGTGGAGTCACGACCTGTTTTGGTATTCGGAAAATAGTCATCCAAGGGACCATGCCATCCACTTCCATGATTCTGTCAGGGAGTGTACATGTACCTGCACCCTCCAATTTGGGTCCATGTCACCACCTCAGCCACCTGTAAAAAGTGACCCAAGTCTTGTCGCAAGGTGAGGAGACTGGTAGGCTTCGCATCTCCAGTGACGGGCTGATCCCCAGACGTCTCGGGGGCGAGGCAGGGCGCGAAGCAAGGCAACAGGCAACCCAGAACAGCTCCACCCGCACTACAAGACCAAGCAGCAGACAGGAACCAGCATCCCCTGCTCCTGACGTCCCCGCGTCGCTTCGGCCTCCAACCCCGGCGGCGTTCAGCTGCGCATTCAACGAGTCGATGGCGCGGCCTCAGCGTCGCTTCGTCAAGCGTCCCAGAGCATCGGAATCAAAGTGAGGACCTTCTGCCAATCACATGTCAAGTCAAGGGTCTCGGACCTTGGAGATGACTGTACCCTAGACTTCCGTTCGACCATTAAAACAATGGTTCACCTGTTTTTTGTAGAGTAAAACCCTTACAGTAGTTGATTCAGCAAAGCCCATTAAATTAATGGTGGTTGGAAGCGGTGTATATAC